GTACCAAATTTTAGTTTCTGTATTTTATGTACCATGCCAAATCTGACACGAATGTTTTGTTTTTCAAAAAATCTGGCTTGTTTATAATTTACTCCCACATTTACGGTATTTTAATAATTGCAATTACTTGGTCAGTTTAAACTCTCGTGTTATTTGATTTGGTTTTGACATTCAGTGACCTGTTGATTTGTGCATAATTTTAACCATTCAATGCAGCACTGCTTTAACATGTTTAATTTCACTTCTCAGACTATCACCATCTGAGACTTTATTAGCCCGATGTATGAACATCTTGATGAGAGGGGATTTCTGTGTGGTGTTGTATATGCCCCTTTTTCCACAATTAATATCAACAAGAAATTTGCCGATTTTTTTCTTTTTAGAGAAATAATGAATGAAAACACACAAGCACAGCAAACCCAGATGGAACTCGTCCAAAGGCCGTAAAATATATAAATAAATGAAAAAAACCGGGCCAGAGAAGGGTCAGCGACCATCGGAGAATCGGCAGGTTGCCAAAGTACGATTTACCATGACCTACTGACATAATTTTGACAGTTCACAAACAGGCCCAGGGTCAGAGGTCACAGACCGAGCGCAGCGCACAGCAAACTGAAGGATTGACGTAAACGCAGAGCCCAGGGTCGCCGAGAGTTCGCGTTAGCCGCAGACATGGCCAAGCCAAACAGCTTAACCATTTACCCTGCATTGCTATAAAAGTAACGTTAAAGTTCGAAATTCAACAACAGGAGTAGGCTAAAATTATCGATCCTCACGCTCACTCCAATTGGAGACCAGGCTACGAGCTACATCAATGAACCATTGCCCATTTATTAATTCAATACTGAATGTTAATTCATCTTTAATAGTTTCTGCACAACCTGACCGAAGCGTATAGCAATCAGAATTTTTCCTAAGTTTAAACGAATTCTCTAACCTCAGAACATAAGAAAATAATAATGCAGTGTTAACTCAAGGGCAACGGAGAGAACGAGAGACTCCTTTGTCTTCCCGCAGCGCGGGAGAGCGGACAGAAACCAGAGCCAAGACATTATTGCAGCCACCTACGCTCACGGGAAAGCTAGGACTCCGTAAACAACACCCCCCCACCACCGCTAGACGAATGGCATACCCCGCACAAGCAGAGAGGGGGCGGGGGGGGGGGGGAAATTCCTTACGAACGAAGGTATCAGCAAACCTCAGCAAACAAATTAAGTTAAAGAAATTACAAGACATAGTCACACAGAACATTGATGCTAACACTATTCACCTTAAAATGACGATGCCCTTGCCCGTTACCCGACCCCACAGACACCAAGGAGTGCGAATTCCGACCATCGAGAGGCTTACCTCTTGACTCAGAATATCGAGAATAAAATGATAATAAATGATAAAGCGTATACACGGAATGACGAAAATTAATAAAAACTGAAGGGCCAGGATAGCGGGGTGAATCACAACCTTGTTGAACATAAAACAAATAATATTTGAGTGATGGTAAACCAAGGGCAACGGAGAGAAAGAGAGACGCCTTTGTCTTCCCGCAGCGCGAGAGAGCAAAGATAGCACCAGAAGGCAAGGAATTATCACAGGCTATCTGTGTTCAAGGGAGAGCTAAACCTAATAAACAACGCACACACCACACGTGCAAGCAGACAGGAGGGGGCGTGGGGAAGGATGCTTTGAGCGTATGTCAGCAAAACCCCAGGCGAACAAGTTTTAAGTTAAAGAAATCACAACACGTAATTTCATACATAACATTAATGTTAACGCTATTCACCGTAAACTATATTCCGCTTATATAACCTTGCAGACACCAAGGAATACGAATTCCCAGGATCAAGAACACTACCTCTTAACCTAGGATATCGGAAATAAAATGATATAATGATAAGCATATGCACGAAAAGACGAAATTAATAAAAACAACTGAGGAAAGGCCAGGATAATGGATACTTGAGCGATGTTAAACTGGGGGCCAGGGAAAAAGAGAGTCTCCCGGCCGCCTTTGTCTTCCTGCAGCACATGATAAGAATATGCATACGCTCAAGAGAGCACCTTCCCTTGAAATAAAATCAAACACCACGATGTAAAACTAACACAACAGACCTCGAGTCACATACAGAATCATAACTGTAAGACTATGATGGAATGAACTATGATGGAATAAAATGTTAACTTAAAAACCTTAACCAACCTTTGGGCGTCGGGAAAGGTCATACAGGAGGGAATCTCGCCCCTCCCTCCAGATTGTGTAAGACAGAGAGACGCCTTTGAGACGATTTGTAACATCTCTTATTTTATGGTTTATGGAAAGAGGAGGGCAACAGAACCATGCCGTAAATGATGCACACACGGACACACATACGGACGGACACACATATGGACGCACATTCGGACACACACTCCAGACCACGACACACAGCTAAATCAAAAGAAGCTCCGCCTTGTGGGGAGGAGCCAAGAGGAGGGATTTTGGCATAAAGTAGGACACTACAGCATTGAAAACTCAACTCATCAGCAAGCGGACAAGACCAGCTTACCAGCTCAACTCATCCCTGCAGAAGATCAACCACCACCGACGCAGAAGAAGTCTCTACCGCCCGCCAGAATGGCGAGACTCGCTGTTTAGCGACGGGGCTACACGGTGCGAGTCGGCACCATCAAAAGTAGCATCGCAACGAACGTGTATCGCCAGCGCCCGATAGCGCAACCGGTGGTCAACACTCAGCGACACAACCGTGCCAGCGACCAGCAGACGAGCGCCATCTACCGATCATACAACCGTGCCCGCTAAGAGCGGAACGTGGGCCAGCCGCTAAGCCGACGGCACCACCGCGCACGCTACGAGCGAGCTGTGTGCGCCATATACCGATGGGCCATCGCAACTACAACAACGTGTCAACTGGTCAACCTACGTCAACCAGTGTGGGCCGAACCTAACCAACTACTGTGAGAAGAGAATCAACTAATACGTATGACGCACACTGCCCCCACTACACGCCAAATCAGGCGTCTGCTTGACATAAAGAATCAATTCCGAACACTGACGACTTAACACAATTCATATCACTCAAACATACATGGGTCCTTAACCAAAAAGCCAATACTCTAGTCCGTAAATCATGAGTGGCCGTGAAGGCATCGCGGCAGACCGAGTGAACACTCCGTCGTTTATAAGTATATTCGTAATTTTCCTCCTTAATATTTTGTTTTGGGCTGTACTTCTAATTGCATAAATTTCCAACCGATCCATCAATACGAATGACTCCTTGACACCTTCGCCACGGAGCTACGCTCACGTGGGAGAATAGCGTATCCAACCGGCTTCCTTATCAGGCGATCTGGTCCACAATTAATTAAACGTTAGCCCAAGATAAGGATATCAGGGGATAGAGCGCACCCCACCGCACACCCTCACTCTAAACCATTTCGGTAATTATATAATCTGTCCGATGGATCTGTTCATATATTTGTGCCTTTGGGAATAACTGTTTTGATCGCCTTTTTGTATGTATATCGTCATATAATCTTTAAGTACCTTTCGTTACTGATCGCCGCACGTACTCGCGTACTCTACAGAATACTCAACTGTTCCGTCACCCAATGTGGTAACAACGTGATAAGGGTTGCTCATGGATCTATGAATGAACGCAGTACTGTGTGTGCAAATTCCAGTATAATCTTTCATAATAGAGTATCAAGGTTTTTGTTTTGTTTAGATGTTTTAACGACTCTTTCTCACCAACTGAGCTCGCGTTACGTGGCGGAATTAACCGCAGGTGCTGTTGTCAAAGTGAAACAACCCAGTCGTTGAGGATACTGTGTTGATACAGTGCTGAAATTCCAAGATTAAGAGTTACATCTTCTAAAGTTAAAGTTTAGTTAGAAAATAAAATTGATCAATGCAGAAGTGATTGTGTGATTCTTTCCTGAAATCTATGCATAAGAACTGATTCTGCGTTGAGATATGAACTTGGTGACCTTACTTAAACACTCTAATCCATACTCAGTAAAGGTTAAAGCAAGAATAATTGTATTATACTGATCGCTAATACGAAGTTAAACAACGAAGTCGAGTTGACTCTGGCATACTCGCATCACACTAGCATAACTGCATACGATTAATTGTATTATCCTGATTGATAACCGACCCTGATTATCAAAAATGGCTGTCATTAACATAACCACACCCACTCGCATGAATTACTACGATTATCTCTCGAATTAGCATAATTTATGCATAATTACACAACATAACTTATTTGCATAAATTTCAAATTCATTAAATTATATTATTTTCGTTACATTTCCATAAACCACATATATAACAGTGGGGTGATGGTGTGACTGAATTAGGCGTCAGTTTGTTTTCTTTCGGTAAACGCTACGTATTATTTTACCATTTTGGCCATGCCCGAGCAGAATATCCAGAAATGGGAGAGTTCTGTCAACTTCTACTTCCATGGTGAACTGTATGGATGGGTTCTGCGAGTTGAGATGATTTAGAAATTGGTTAAGTATATCTTTTCCGTGTGGCCAGACCACCAGTGTGTCATCCACACATCTAAACCAAGCAGAGGGTTTTAGTGTGCTTGAGGCTATTGCTTTTGCTTCAAAATCTTCCATGTACAAATTTGCAATCAGAGGAGACAAAGGAGAGCCCATTGCTGCTGCTTCCTTTGGTTTATGGAAATCACCTTTCCACAAGAAATAGGTATTCTTTAGACAATGTTCGAAAAACACATATTATGGATGATATTGGTTGCGAAAGCCTAAGTGATAAACTGAGCTTTTGATTGGTCGGATAGAGGGGGCTAAATTGGCACGGCACGGGCTATCGAAGAGATTGATGCAGTACAGGAGGATGTGGAGTTGAGTGGACTTGCCGAAGACCGGTACCAGCAGTGGCAAGACAGCCTCTATGGAGTCAAGATCAGCCTCTATGGAAGCTCCTGGGGAGGGCAGAGGAGCGACACTCACAACGAAGAGCTAAGCACCGGGCAGCTAAAACACAGTTGGCACAGTAGGGGGCACAGGTGGTGCATCTATCAGTCATCACAGACAGTCAACCCCTAGAACCTGGGTCTGTCATTTAACCTGCCAGCAATGAGCCTTCGACACTTCACGTGGCCTCAAAGTGCACCTAGCGTGGCACAAGCACTGTAGTGATGTCAACGTCACTTAGTGGCGAATGGTGGTTGTTGAGTGGGTGGGTGTATGAGTGAGTGGGTGCATAAGTAGGTGAGTGGGTGAGTAGGTGGGTGAGTGAGTGGGTGAGTGAGTCTCACCTCCAGGTTGCTGTTCAGGAATGGTCTCCACAGGTGCCTGCGGCTCAGGTTGTTTAAGTCTACGATGAGCACCATGCTGCCAACCTGTCTGCCCAGCTACTCGCTCACACACAGATACAGGTAAACGTCGCCCAGGTAGCCCACTCAGGCATGTAGGGGAAGTGCTGTCAGAGACTTAGTTCGAGTGGGTGAGTGAGTGGGTCGCTACGCGATTAGGCAGGTGAGTGAGACGCGTGAGTGTGCAGCTGCGTTACTCACCAGGTGAGTCTGCCGCTGGCACTCGGCCAGCATGAGCTCGAGCTCCCGCACCTTGCTGCGGAGGAAGCCCCCCGGCCGCTCGGACCTCATTAAGCCAGGGGGGTCGAGGTCCCCCACCACCTCCCACCACAGAGGAGACCCCTCCCGGTCAAAGCCACACAGCCCCCCAGAGAAGTACTTCTCCACCACCTGTACACAGGTCACGGGTTTGGGTGTTGGGGAGAGATTTGGGAGTCAGTTTGGGGGGTCGAGGTGAGTCTGGGGGGTCGGGTGAGTTTAGGGGGTCGGGTAAGTTTAGGGGGGCGTGGGTGAGTTTGGAGGGTCAGGTGTGAGTTTTGGTGGTCGGGGTGAGTTTCGGGGGCTCCGAGTGAGTTTGGGGGGGATCGGGGTGAGTTCTGGGGGTCGTCTGGGTGGTCGATGTGAGTTTGAGGGGTCGGGCATCAGTTTGGAGGGGTCTGGGTGAGTGTTGGGGTTCGAGGTGAGTTTAGGGCGGCCGGGGTAAGTTTGGTAGATCGGGGTGAGTTTGGGGGTTCGCGGGTGAGTTTGGGGGCTCACGGTGAGTTTGGGGGGGGTATGGGTGAGTTTAGAGGATCGTGGTGAGTTTGGAAGGTCGGGGGTTAGTTTAGGGGTGTTGGGGTGAGTTTGGGGGGGTCTGGGTGAGTTTGCAGGGGTCGGAGTGAGTTTCGGAGTTCGGGGTGAGTTTGTGGGATCGGGGTGAGTTTGTGGGATCGGGGTGAGTTTGGGGGGTTTGGGTTAGTTTAGGGCTGTTGGGGTAAGTTTGGGTGGTAGGGGTGAGTTTGGAGGGCCTTGGGTGAGCTTAGGGGGGCCGCGGTAAATTTGGTAGGTCGTGGTGAGTTTGGTGGTTAAGGGGGTGAGTATGGGGAGTCGGGATAAGTTTTGGGGAGGGGGTCTCGGTGAGTTTGGGGAGTCGGGGTGAGTTTGGTAGGTCGTGATGAGTTTGGGATGAGTTTGGGGGCTCAGAGTGAGTTTGGGGCCGGGAAGGGTGAGTTTAAGGGAGTCGGGTGAGTTTGGGAGGGCGTTGGTGAGCTTGGGGGATCTGGCTGAGTTTGGGAAATTCGGGATTGAGTTTGTGGAGTAGGGGCGAGTTTTGGGGGTCAAGGTGAGTTTGGGGGTGTCTGGGTGAGTTTAGGGTTTTGGGGTGAGTTTAGGGGGGCCGGGGTGAGTTTGGGGGTCAGGGGTTAGTTTGGGATGTCTAAGTGAGTTTGGGGAGTGGGGTGAGTTTGGGGAATTGCGGTGAGATTGGGGGGGGGGTGAATTTAGGGGGGTTGAAGTGAGTTTGATGTTTCAGAGGTGAGTTTGTGAGGTCGGGATGAGTTTGGGGGGGATTTGTGTGTGACTTTAGGGGGGGGGCGCAGTAAGTTTCCTGGCTCGGGGTGAGTTTGGTGGCTTGGGGTGAGTTTGGGGCGGTCGGGATGAATTTTGGGGGGGGAGTCTGGATAAGTTTTAGGGGTCGGGGTGAGTTTAGGGGCGCCGGGGTAAGTTGGTAGGTTGGTGTGAGTTTGGGGGTTCGGGTGTGAGTTTGGGGGGGTCGGCGGTGAGTTTAGGGCGTCGGAGTGAGATTGGGCGGAGGCCACGTACTCACCCACCCACTCACCCAGTCACTCACTCACCGACTAACCCACCCACTTTCTCACTCGCCCACTCTCTCACCCACCCACCCACTCACCAACCACTTACTAACTCACCCACCCACTCACTCATTCACCCGCCCAGCCACAGTGCATATTGGGTTGCAGTGGTGATCACGCGGATGTGCTTGGCTGGGAACAACAGCCTCACCTCGGACGGCTTCCAGTTATTGACGAGAAAATCCACGTCCATCTGCACCCGGAAATCTGCGTGCTGGGGCGGGGGGGGGGATCGGACGTCTCTTTGCTCTTCTATGGCTACTATAGCTACTAATATTCACACGCTCACTCGCCCGTTCACTCACACGCTCACTCCCTTGCTTTCCCACGCTCACTCACCCACTCACTTGCTCTCTCGCCCACACACTCATCTTGCTCACTCACCCATACCTTCACTCGCTAATTCGCTAGCTCACTCACCCATCTACTCGCTCACTTGCTCACTCACTTACTCGTTAAATCACTCACTCACTCACCTACTAACTCTCTCGCTCTCTCACTCGCTAACCTACTAATTTACTTGCTCACCCAAGGAATCATAAAAGAGTGGTGAGTGAGTTAATGGTGAGTGAGTCGTGAGTGGGTGGTGAATGGGTGAGGAAATGAGTGTTAAGTGGCGGTGAGGAGTGGTAGTGGTGAGGAGTGGTGGATGAGGAGTCATGGTGAATAGTAGTGAAGAAATGTGGTGAGGAGTGGTGGTAAGGAAGTATGGTGAGGGGTAAATGGATGAGTGAGTGGGTGATGGTGAGGAGTGGTGGTGAGGAGTGGTGGTGAGGAGGAGCGGTGTTCCTTACTTTGCGGATCATCGCCTCTGCATTCTTCAAGTTGAAATTCCTGGCTGGAAGAATAAACACGTTGAGGAGTTGGTGAGCAGGTGGTGGTGAGGAGGTAAAGAGGTGGTGAGGATGACTCGGTGAGGAGCTGGTGAGTGATGATGAAGAAGTGGTGAGTGGTGGTGAGGTGAGGAAGTATTGACGAAGTGGTGAAGTGCACGTGGAAAGGAGGTGAGGTAGTAGTAAGGTGGTCAGCAGGAGGTGAGTTGTGGGGTGAGGAGGTGGTGAGTCCTTACCTCTGAGCCACTTGAGGAGGTAGTGATCGTCAGTGTAGGGTAGACCTGGCAACACGTCCTGCACAGACTCACGGAACTACACACACAGTCACCTCCCTGTCTCTCTTCTGTAGCTACTACACACACAGTCACCTCCTTGTCTCTCTTCTGTAGCTACTACACACACAGTCACCTCCCTGTCTCTCTTCTGTAGCTACTACACACACAGTCACCTCCCTGTCTCTCTTCTGTAGCTACTACACACGCAGTCACCTCCCTGTCTCTCTTCTGTAGCTACTACACATAGAGTCACCTCCCTGTCTCTCTTCTATAGCTACTACACACAGTCACCTCCCTGTCTCTCTTCTGTAGCTACTACACACAGTCATCTCCCTGTCTCTCTTCTGTAGCTACTACACACACAGTCACCTCCCTGTCTCTCTTCTGTAGCTACTACACACACAGTCACCTCCCTGTCTCTCTTCTGTAGCTACTACACACACAGTCACCTCCCTGTCTCTCTTCTGTAGCTACTACACACAGTCACCTCCCTGTCTCTCTTCTGTAGCTACTACACACACAGTCACCTCCCTGTCTCTCTTCTATAGCTACTACACACACAGTCACCTCCCTGTCTCTCTTCTGTAGCTACTACACGCACTGTCACCTCCCTGTCTCTTTTCTGTAGCTACTACACACACAGTCACCTCCCTGTCTCTCTTCTGTAGCTACTACACACACAGTCACCTCCCTGTCTCTCTTCTGTAGCTACTACACACACAGTCACCTCCCTGTCTCTCTTCTGTAGCTACCACACACACAGTCATCTCCCTGTCTCTCTTCTGTAGCTACTACACACACAGTCACCTCCCTGCCCCTCTTCTGTAGCTACTACACACACAGTCACCTCCCTGTCTCTCTTCTGTAGCTACCACACACACAGTCATCTCCCTGTCTCTCTTCTGTAGCTACTACACACACAGTCACCTCCCTGCCCCTCTTCTGTAGCTACTACACACACAGTCACCTCCCTGTCTCTCTTCTATAGCTACTACACACACAGTCACCTCCCTGTCTCTCTTCTGTAGCTACTACACGCACTGTTACCTCCCTGTCTCTTTTCTGTAGCTACTACACACACAGTCACCTCCCTGTCTCTCTTCTGTAGCTACTACACACACAGTCACCTCCCTGTCTCTCTTCTGTAGCTACTACACACACAGTCACCTCCCTGTCTCTCTTCTGTAGCTACCACACACACAGTCATCTCCCTGTCTCTCTTCTGTAGCTACTACACACACAGTCACCTCCCTGTCCCTCTTCTGTAGCTACTACACACACAGTCACCTCCCTGTCTCTCTTCTATAGCTACTACACACACAGTCACCTCACTGTCTCTCTTCTGTAGCTACTACACACACAGTCACCTCCCTGTCTCTCTTCTGTAGCTACTACATACACAGTCACCTTCCTGTCTCTCTTCTGTAGCTACTACACACACAGTCACCTCCCTGTCTCTCTTCTGTAGCTACTACACACACAGTCACCTCCCTGTCTCTCTTCTATAGCTACTATACACAGTCACCTCCTTGTCTCTCTTCTATAGCTACTACACACACAGTCACCTCCCTGTCTCTCTTCTGTAGCTACTACACACACAGTCACCTCCCTGTCTCTCTTCTATAGCTACTACACACACAGTCACCTCCTTGTCTCTCTTCTATAGCTACTACACACACAGTCACCTCCCTGTCTCTCTTCTGTAGCTACTACACACACAGTCACCTCCCTGTCTCTCTTCTATAGCTATTACACACACAGTCACCTCCCTGTCTCTCTTCTGTAGCTACTACACACACAGTCACCTCCCTGTCTCTCTAATCTAGAAAGACAGATGAGAGATGGAGGGAGAGAGAAAGATGGAGAGATGGAGGGAGAGAGACAGAAAGAGAGAGACATAGGGAGAGAGACAGAGGGAAGGACACAGATAAATATCGGGAAAGAGATAGAGGGAGTGACAGAGAGAAAGAGAGACAGGGGAAGAGAGACAGATGGATAAAGATAGAGGGAGAGTCAAGAAGACAGAGGCAGAGTAATTGAGACAAAGAGAAAGACATAGTGAGAGAGGGAGATAGAGGAGAGAGAAAGAGAGGATGAGATACAAATGGCGAGATTGAGATAGAGGGAGAGAGACAGAGAGAGACGGAGCTAAAGAGGGAGATAGACAGAGGGGAAGAGACAGAAGGAGAGAAAGAGGGAGAAAGAGAGACATAAGAAGAGAGGCAGATACAGAGGGAGGGAGACGGAGAGACGACACTGGGACATTTCCACGCCATCTCATTTTCCCTCCTTCTCTCGGCGCTCCATCCACTCCGGGTCCCACCGCTGCAGGCTCTCGGGTTACGGGCCATAGCAATGATAATGATGATGTTTATTGAAAGGGTCGTTGCCGGAAACGTCGGATATTCTGTATAAGTATCTGTGCTCCCCACTCCCGTTTGGGCCGCGGTGCAGTGTGGCTGGTGAATGTGGTGAGGTGCTGTTGGTGTGATGAGAGACACGGAGAGACGAGGTCACGGCACGGGACGTGCCCAGCGAGTTCGTGGGTGGCTTACTACGTGGGTGAGTGGCGGGAGGGTGAGTGGGTGGGTGGGTGGATGGAAGGGTGAGTGAGTGAATGGGTGGGTCGATGAGTGAGTGTTTAGGTGAGTAAGTGAGTGGGTGAGTAGGCGAGTGAGTCGGTGGGTGAAGTAGGTAAGTGAGTAGGTGAATGAGAGTGAACATCTCCAAACTGCGATCTTACAGCAGCAGCATCACCTCCCGTCCCCACTACTGCGGGGAGACAAAGGCGGCCTTGCGTAGTACTGGCCACCCACCCCTCCGTGTGCCGTGCCGGCCTTCATATACACTACTCGCGAACAACACTTGCCCCTACAGTCTATTAGAGGCTAGACGGGAGACCTTTGTCTTTGTTTATGACTGTGTGTGTTTATGATTGACTGTTGCGGCTCTGCGGGATATATTTGTCTGTGTGTGTGTCTGTGTGTGTGTCCGGTAAAAACAACCCCCTAACTCCTCGTGGTGCCAGACGGGCAACGCTGTCGTGGGTAGTGCTGTGGGGGGGAGGCCATTTCCCTCATGGCGTTTGTGACCACCACAGCGGCTAAATGGGGGCTCTGGACGGATGCGAGGGGCTGGTAACCCCTCCACCTTCAATTAACTACCACTAAAACTACGACCGAAAAATGTAATCAACAAGCTTGTGACGGAGGACCCGGGGGGACAGGTGTCTTTGACGTCTCCTGGCCAAACACCATTTGGCGGAGCCAGGCGATTGAATCTTTACCCTCGGGGCTCATCCAGAAACAACAAAAAGCCACTACGGATGGCCACGTGGAATGTTCGAACGCTCACTGTGGAGGAGAGGCTGCCACTTCTCTGTCGGGAGCTGGACCGGTACCGCCTGGATCTCTGTGGTATTCAGGAGGTCCGGTGGACCGGCTCTGGCTCCTGCCACCATGAGGGGTGGACAGTCCTATACTCGGGGCAGGAGATTGCCAAACAACAAGGAGTGGCTCTTCTTATGAACAAAATAATGAAGGGAGCGTGGGAACGTGGTGGTGAGGTGTGGGAAGCTGTAAGCCCCAGGCTACTTTGGGCTCGCCTTCCCATCAACTGGAGGCGAGGAGTGGTGGTCGTGGTTATTTATGCCCCCACTGAAGACGAACATCCGTGGAGGGATGCAGGCAAGGCTGATGAGTCATGCCTTCTATGAACTACTGTCACAGGTGCTAGCTAAAGTGGCCCCTCGGGATAGAGTCATCTTGTTGGGAAACTTTAATGCCCGAGTGGGTCATGATGCTGGCACCTAGTCTGGAATGATTGGAAGGCATGGGCCAGATCAGCTCAATAACAACGGTAGGAGGCTGCTAGATTTTTGTGCAGCCCATGGGCTTGTAATTACCAACACGCTGTTCCGGCATCGGCGCATCCATACAACATCATGGATGCATGCCGGGTCCAAGCAAGAACATCTGCTGGACTACATAGTGACGGACCAGTGGATGCGAGCCCATGTCCTTGACACCAGGACCTACCGTGGAGCTGATCTGCCTCTGACCATCGACTAGTCATCTGTAAGATGCGCCTGCCATTCTTCCACTCCGGTGGTGGGTGTACACCCAGGACCCCATTCAAACCTAAGGTGGCCTGGTCTCAGCTTGCTGATGAAAGTTGCAAGCGAGAATTTCATCATCGCTTGCGGCTGGGGTTGGCATCGTTCCCCACTCCTCCAGATGTCGAGGGGAAATGGGCGAGGTTTAGGACTGTGACTCGGGAAGCTGTAATGGCTGCTTTGGGTACGCGGTGCAGACCTCCCCAGAGACCCTGGCTGACACAGGAAGTGTTCAAGCTGGCTGAAAAAAAGCGACAGGCCCACTCTCATCGGCTACAGCATTCCATGTCGGAGAATGAGGAGGCTTACCGCAGCCTTCGCTCGGAGGTTCGGAAAACCATGAGGCGCTGTAAGCATGGGTGGTGGTCGTGGGTTGCTGAGGAGATGGATCACAAATCCCTATTTAATTCCATCAAAAAAGTAACCTGCAGCACCACACCTATTGCTATTACTAGGGAAAAAACGGTGATCCAATCTCCGACCCCCAGGAATAGATTTGCAGATGTGCTGAGCATTTCTGTGAAGTCCTGGGGCATGGGAAATCCCTCCACATGGAAAACATCGTGGGACAAAGTGGGGATGACCCTGCTAAGGCTACA